GAGATCCATGACCGTTACTGTACGAAGCCCATCAAGACGTCGAAAAGAAGAGAACTCAAAGCCATTGGTACCCTTCCTCGATGTTGCGGATCCGAACGTGACATGCAAGGATAAGATCTACGAAAATGTCTTTTGTATCTCAACTCCATCGGCATCGATAAGATATCGGGGGCCAGGAGCATGCCCGTCTATGTGCTGCAGAAGTCGCTTCCATGATACTACTTAGGCATTCACTCACACCAAAGAAACATAATGCTAAGATCGGCAACATCACGCACGCACAAGGCTCTATCTCGATTGTTAACATCGTGTCAAACACTACAAACGCTGTTTACAAACACACCGCTCACCTCCAAGTCTAAATACAAATCATCCCATCGCACTCAAGACTGACGCCACTGACCCGAATCACAAAACCCCCGAACCCAAACCCAGCATGTCACTAATCACCATCATCAAAGACCTAGTAGACTCCGTATCCTACAACTGGAATTGCCACCAATGCGGTAGTGATAACGTCGCAAAAGAGCACCCAGCTCAATGCACATCGTGCTCGCATTTTCATTGCTGGAAGTGTGAAAACATCATTCACTAATCTTCGTATGATGTCGAGCAAATTAACTTCATGTGCTCTCACGAAGAGTTGTCCCATAATTAGTCTTCTTTCATGCTAGCTGCGAATACGATTAGGAATTTACTTGCGCTCAAAGAACCTTCTCTGGAATACATGAGATTGCCAATGCTTGCACATGAATCACAGAGTGACGACTCTTTCCATTAGTCTCGCACAATGCGCGCACACTTTATGAAGCAATATTAGGTATAAAGCGGTGTACTCAAACCAAGTGATACAATGTTCTTGACATCTTTTAGTCTGACGTACCTGATTCTATAAAAGAGAAGTTCTCACTACCCTCAAAGCCTTCTCTCTCTATACCGCCATATATGATCTACCGTTATCACTTAATAACTGCACGATTGTCTGGTACCTTATTTTGCTTCTCAAGCCATCATCTCTTTCTCACTTACTCGCGAAGAAACGGCTTGCGCATCTGCTTCGACAATACTACCCTCCACTATGCTCATTTGCAATAACTCATTTATCGGGCTACTTGCCGGTCTATCCTGCATCTCGGCAGCTCCTCTGGAAACCTTGGCGAGTGAAAGCACTTCGATAGCCGCACATAATGCTAGAAATGTAAGTGCTTAACCTTAGTCCATACGACTGCGAATAACCTTTACTAATACCAATGTGTACTAGGCACGTCCTGAACTCTCCCTCCAGCTTCTATACAGCGTCTGGGATGAAGATAAATACCTCTACGTCGCCCAACGAGGGAAGCAAGGAATAGCATATGGACCATGTGGGGGCGACGTAAAGAACAATTCCTTTGAGCTAATCCACTATACAGAATTAGGCAAAGACTCCCGTCCCAACGCCATCGATCATCCTCCGTTTCCCAGCAAAGAAGTAAGTAAAACCGGCCTTTCACTATTTGAAGTATGCTGACTCGCATGTTCTTATAGGTCTCATTCCCTATCAAAGTACCCGGCAAAAAAGACTGCCGTTACGAAGGCAATGGCGTCGACGCTGGCCAGATTCGATGCGGAGATGAGGCTGTCGGGAAGTGTGGAGAAGACCCACAGTACGATGAGCCTACGATCAGGTGTTCATGGGGGACAAAGTACCATCGCGGATATGTCTGCGAGTTCTGAGTACCCCTAGACTTGAGTTTGGACTTTCCGGAATGGACGATTGGGAGGCAAGAGAGACGTATAGTGGACTGCCCAGGTGCAGTCATGTGACGAATCCACTGGAGAGGCGTCGCTTATTGTGTTCGTATGATGGCTGATGTTCATGTAGACAACACACGAGTCTCAGCGTTATTGGAAGATTGTGCGCATCGATGTTGATTGCTGCTCTGGTGATTGCTCCTTGTAATGATTAGCCATTGTTTCGTCGTCATGTACCCCTAGAAACGTGGTGCTGATGATGTGAAGGGTTAAATGCCGGTGGCTACACGTTGCCAAGCGCGAGACTGGGATACGAACGAAAGGATACTGTGGCCCTGTAAGGGATGTGACGAATAGCAAACGAAAACGAATTGACCGGGCCGCAAAGAGTATCATATTTGCAGTGAAAACATGTTTGCGATAGTCAGGTCCCGCCGGAAAGAGTGAAGTAGTCCGGGCAGCTGTGATACCATTACTTCTTATATGTCGTGCAATCTTGGCGTCACTTCGGAGTTGTCATATTGTACAACATGGTAAAGTAGCGATACTTTGAATGCTTGCTGTGATGCCTACGCAATCTGGTAAACAGGTCCTCTTACAGCGTGCTGCTGCTTATAAGAAGGCGGGTAGTAACATGTCCACGACTGACCATCACCCAACACAGCAAGCTTGCGGAAGCCGAGATGATGTTCTACCCTGTTCTCCTCCTCTGTGCCAGTCGCTCCTTCGCTCTGCCGGCCAGCACCACCGATGTGTCGCGTTCGATAGACGACACAAACCAATACATAATCCTGGACGAGCTTGGCATACCATTGCGATCACCTATCATGCCAGGTCTCGTTCCTAGTAGCGATGAACGGATTCGGAAAAGAGATATCTGGAACAACACAAGGGTTAAAACCGAAGCGCCTTCCAACCCAAGCGCTTCAGACAACGCCACACAAGTCCAGCAAACGGCAGCCGAAGACCACCTCACAGCTCTCGCCGAAATCATTATGTTCCCAAGGACTTGCGAGATTGATCAGCAGTACCAAGTCCTTGCGATGGCCGAAATGTTCGTAAACGTCGGTGTCGTTCAAGCTGATCTGGAAGGGAGCATACGCCGGAGCTCGTTCATGTGGGGCGAAGATGTTCCGGGCAAAGAGTATATAACCACGTGGATGTATGTGGATATACTGGACGATGGGCCGTTAGTGACGTCCGATCTGATAGAGAACATGTTCTATCTGATGATATATGATGAATCTTGCTATGCTACACCAGGCCAGACCAGAGGCGGCAGACTACGGGCGGTGCATGCGCGTACGGGTAGGGAGCTTGCCAATGTAGTCATAAACGCGGTGAACTCTAGAGATGCGTAGTATTAGGCGATGGATCGCATGGAATGGAAAGGCTTTTTAATCTTATTTCACCTTCAAGTCGTTCAGATGCGTATTCGGATCCGCGTCCACAACATACTCGTCCAATTGGACCAAGCCCAGCAGAGCCTCGTCGTCGACAACGTCTGTCATTGCTGGTCTCTTTTCTGTTTGTTGGCTACGAGCTGCCTTCAGCTTCAAGATTGTCTCTTCGTTGTATTTCTTGAAAGCCTTGGGGTTCTTCTTCTCCCTATGCGGATCATGCGACTCGCTCTTGAACTGATATCCTCTAACTCGCGGCCCTTGGCCAGACTTCTCGGGAAGTGTAGGTTCGTAATAGGCCTCGAAAGCGGCCGCGTCGGCGTCGAAGGTACCTGCTTCGATGGAGGCGCGAATGCCGGCGAAGAAGGTCGAGAGAATGGCGTGGTTGTGTAGCTGGATGAGTACCCAGCCAAGCATTTCCTTGGCAGCGAGCAGGTGCTGGAGGAAGGCGCGATGATGCTTTGTGCACGCGTAGCATGTGCAGCCTTCGGATAGCGGGGTGACGGACAAGGCATGCTCACCGCTCCACATGTCGATGCCCAGAGAGTGGCGCGCGCTTGTGTTGCCGTCTCCGACGGGCGCTGGGAAGGTGAAGTCGAGGACGATACCCGCGTCGGTCGCGTCGGCGAGGAAGGGCACGGTAAAGACGTCCACGCCCATGCGCACATGGCGGAGAAGCTCCTGTGGGCTGGCAGGGACGTGGAAGGATAGTCGTGGGAGGTGATGGAGCTGGTCGGGCAGGTCGTCGAGCAGATAGGCGTCGTAGATGGCGAGGCCGCTGATATTGTCCACCATATCGTCTAGCAGGTGATCCAAGTACCATGACTGTAGGTCGCGCTCGATGGGCAGGATGGGCGCAAAGATGCTCCACGCTTTCTCGCCCTCGTCGATAGTGCCCTGCTTGGCTACCATGTCACGCAGCCACACCTCGGTCCTGTCGCTCATCCGGTCTTTCCGCTTGAGACTGATGTCCTCCTGCCCAACTGGTATGTCACCCAATCCCACAACGATGTCTGGTTGCAGCTTGCGTGCCGCGGCGGCATAGTACTCGGAGCTGAGGGTCGTGAAGCCGACCGACGTCAGGAGGCGTATCTCGGTGTCTGTATTTCCGTGGGGGCTGGCTATGGGCGGATTGCGACGCGCACCCAGGACGAGGAGCGTGTCTTCGGGGAGGGCGATGAACTTGCGCAACGGCTCAGGCACGTCATACTTGAAGACTGGCGGAGTCTTGTGCGGACGCTTCTCGACGACTGCATGCTGTTAACGGTGCTTGGTGGCACATACGAGGGAGGGTACGCACAGTCCTCGAGCGCGACGTAGACCCCGCCAACGTCGGCGCTCCGTCGGAAGTTGTCCTGCGATACATGGGGTATGACGCCTCTGGATGTGTTGCCAATAAAGGCGGGTGTAAGGATACTCTTGCGTCCCGGGAACGACAGGCGGCCGAGTCGCGGCGCAAGCGAGCCTGACGTCTTGAGGAGCGTGAAATCCAGCATTTCAGCCGGCAGTTGACCAAGTTTCCTCGTCGAGACCCCGTCAGACATGGTAACACTGAAGATCTGACTGTTCAATGTCTAAAGCTTTCTCTCGGTCCACACATCAAGCAATAGCTGTCGTATACTACTCCCAATGTCGTTGCCTATGGTGGGGCGTCCATGTTCCTGCCGACTCATCGTCGAAAATGTGGATGCGTGCACGTGCAAGCGTGTCAAACCGCGTCAGGCGTCAGGCGTCCGACTACCTCTGGATTCTACATCTGTCCTCAATGTTCCTATAAAATAATGGCGGAATCCTCTTATCATCGCATCAGACGTGGTCATGGATCGCTGAAGCCGTCTCCCACAGCGATTACCCATGTCTTCACCAATGACCAAGCACGACCACGATGAGCCACCTCGCCAGGCTCTACGCGACTCTGCCACGAGAAAACGATATCAGGACCCATTAGTCGTGTTCGCTGTAGTTCTCATCGCTTTCCTGGGCTTCTACCGCATCTACAGCCCTTCCGCTACCATAAGCTCCCCATCACCTCACGGCAATGACGTCGATATTCAGGTCGTCGAGACTTACAATGAAGACGAACTTCAGGAGGTTGCTGCCTTGATGGACGAAATCTACACCATGCTAGCAAATGCCTCGTTCATTCCGCATGACTCTATCAAGCGTGGCCTACACCATATCAATTCTACAGCCAGTCCCTGCAGGCGCGATGCAGCCGACCTGCGCTTAATGGACATCCTCCCATATGTAGACGCCCCACTACTCGACGATGACCATTGGTTATGGGGTGGCACTTTTTTCGATTCCCGGGTAGATAAATTCTTGGGCTACGGCTGCGATCCTGACGAAGCAGACAAAGACCCCTCGTTCCTCATGCGGCCAGGGACGGTCCACTTAACCAATGGCGGCTGGGATGGCTGGGATCTCTACAGAAGTTGGCAACTCCAATATGACACTAGGAAGAATGCAATTAGGGTCTATGAAGGAGAAGAGAGGAGTGATTACCAGCCACAAGTCAATGGGTGCTTGGTTCAATTCCGAGACCCATACCAGAGCGAACAGTACAGATCTGGTCACAGATGGGAAGATACCCCTGTCATTGAAGCGATTAACTCAACGGGAATTCTCTCGGTGAACAGGCACAGCCGTGATTGGACGAGATGGACCGATGCGCCAACCTTCTTGAGGAGGATCAGAGACGCATATCGGAGCACAGCATGGACACCATGGGTGGCCGCGAACCCCGCTGACCGACCCGCTGATCCGCGCGTCCTTCCGTCGTCCCACAACATCACATCATCGCTTCTGATCAAGAACGGTTGGCCCGCAAAGCTTGACATCGATCAGTTTCGGGCTGACTTCATCCGGGCGCAGCACAAGCCGTCAGGACGAGGCTGGGCCGAAGGTGCTTTCCAACAGATCAGAACTTACCAGGATGATCCAGATGATCCAGCCAACATCTACTATACCAAGAGGCTTCTACAACGATATCAGGATCATGAGCTTGACGAGGAGATCGAATATTCCACTGGAGAATTGAACAGGATGAGAATGGAGGCGGAAAGAGCAAAGAATAGAATCCATCAACACGACAAGGATTACGAAGAAGCGAAACGGCAAATACAGCAGTTGTGTCCAGACGGCATCTGTGTCGAGGAAGAGGATCTCATTCTTTGGGAGTTCAGAGCACTAGAACAGACATATGCAGAGGCACAGCTCAAACCCGACACTAAGACACTGTGCGAACGCCGCCCTTGGAGACTGGACGAAAGGTTTTATGACAGACATTTGTCGTCAGATCAGCACGCGAGTTGTGTCACCCGACTCAACTTGGAGAGACACTGGTTGGAGTTGGCATACCAACAATCCCGCGCCGATGCCCTCGCTCATTGCGCTCGAAGCAACAAGGATCTCCTCCCCCATGCCTCCTAGTTCGAGACCCTCGCGAGTATCTACGTTGCCGATTATGAAAGTAAGTATTACGGGTGGAAAGGAGATCAGAAAGGCTTTGTCTGGTGATGAAGCCCTTCTAGAGCTTTGGAACCGATTGGAGTATTTGGACGAGCCTCGTTCGACGTCTGATGACAGACTGTACGACTAGAAGGTATATGGTCCGGGTATCAACATGAAGAGTGATGGTCACTATCACAATGGTACACGGTAGCGATTGTTTTCACTCTTTTCTCGATTCATATTGCGTTCATCTTCACTTCACTTTCTTTCACTTCACCTTACTCGATCACATCACAACAAATCAAACACCGCCAACTTCTTCCTCAATGTTCTAGCAAGCCAGAAGCATTAATGAAAAAGCATAAGGAACACAACAAGTGAATGTTGTGGAGGGCCGCCCCACCTCGCGGCGCTCGATGACTCGCAACCATGCGTCGAAGAGTCTCTCTTCCAAGCCGTGCCCGGGAAAAGCCAGTCGAGAAGGCGATGCTGAGGGTTAGCCAGCTGCTGTGAGTTAGTGGGTATATCCCCGGCGGGGTGTGTGGATTGTAGGAGGGAGGCAGGAAACGCTGTTTATATAGTCGGCCGCTGGCCTGCCAAGAGCGGCCGGATGAACCTGTGGACCCGGATTTCACATGGACTGTGCTCACGCCGGCACCCGTGGTTCTGCCGGCGGTATAGGGACGTGCGGGACGAGGTGAAGGCGAGGTGAAGGGGACTTGCGACAGCCTGGAGTGGTGTGGTGACGTCAAACCTTTTGCAGCGGTCGAGACTCAATACGCGCATGAGCTGTTCCAGCGATGGAGTATGAGAGTCTCTGCCGGTTAGTGGATATTGGGCTACACTATGAGACCAGTGGATGAATGTACAAGTCACGTGCGGGTTTCATGTTCGTCAACTTTCTCGATGTCCCACCTGCCAATCTCGTCAAACGGCATATGATGATGAATTGTCTTATAGTAATCACAGTACAGTGTTTTAAGAGAATGGTAGGCGAAAGCATATGTCTTCAGACTTGATGGTCGTCACATCGCTTCCAAGGTTGTCCTGGGTTGCCCCGCAATTGGCACGCGATCCCACACGACCCCCACGCCAGTACGCGGTTACGACTGCAGACCTCGGGAGTCGCGAAAAAAATCAGCCGCGACCAGTCCTCACTTCATCATGACGAGCCGCTTAGATATCGTCACCAAAGACGCGAAAGCGCTCGTGCCAGGCCGCAAGACATTCTTTGATCTCTCCGGCGAACTGCGAAACCAGATCTACGACCTTGCGCTCGACAGGCAATACCAGCGCGTACCCTTGAACCCGTACTATCTCAACAAACCCGACCCGTACATTGCTCTACTACAGACATGTTCTCAGATATACAAGGAAGCGCGGAGCTACCTCGTCGAGAAGCAGGTCGCTTACGTTCCGGTAATGACCGGTATGCAGTACGACTACGGGACCGAGCTGAGTGAAGACTACGGCCTGAGCAAAGAGACGACAGACACCATTGCAGCATCACTGACCGACTTCATGGAAGTGCATTTCCACTTGCACATCGACATTCTGCGTGTCTCGATAGACCGCCGGTGGGACGGCAGCGACGACTTCCGTCTTAATGATGCAAACGGAGAAAAATGGAACATAGTCGCCTTGCTCGACACCCTTCACCAAGCCATCAAGCACTATATTCCGCATTCTTGGAACCTATACCTCGAACACGAGCTGGGAAAGCGACGTGCGACGGTCCACCTCGACCATCTACTCTCACTCTGGCCCAGGATCTCACCAGAACACCCTTGCGTCCCCATCGCTGCGATGCGCGACCTCGTCGATCTCATGGCGAAAGATACCATGACTGAATGGCAGATACGGTATTACATCCCGACTGGCCAGGCCGGTGTATCGGTCAGATACGGATGCACGATGGATGACGATATGGCCCACGCGATTCGCGACACGGAACTAGCACAACTACGCAGTTACGCGAAAACATGCGGACACGGAAATGTCACCATCATCGCAGAGCTATATGGCGAAAATACCGCATGGGAATATGGGGACAAATCCGACAGCGTAACTAGGCTGCGTAGTCCCGCTACGGATTTCTGGCCAAACTTGCATTTCGACCCTTGGAAATACTCAATGCCGCATCACCAGCATTGGAACAGGTCTTATCCCGGTAAGTGAAACACTATTTCGGTTCTTTCTGCAAGATTATCTCAAGTCAGGAGGATACATTACGAGACATTTACTTCTCAACGTCCAATGACGTGTACGCTGCAAAACGAATTCTGCCACTAAACAGCTCCCTCGAGTTACCCTTACTAACGACATATGCGTAGAAGAAATGCCCATCGAGAACTTTGAAGAAGCCGCCCTGTTAGCCACTCATGAAGATCGCCCGCGCCGGGCAGACTGGATGGAGATGCTGCAGCGGAGGGACGACCAGGCTGAGCTGAGGCGGCGGTACGAGGAACATAGGTCTTGGGGTGTCGGAGCGTCAAGCTGAGACAGAGCGGTAGCAGGCATTCAACGCCTCTAGGGATCAAATATGTAAAGAGCAGACATGTACTGCCACGTTGACCTAGAGAGAACCTGAGCACCCTAGAGCCTACGTTGACATTAGGCCACCTACGCTGTATGTTTCTTTGTCGCAATGTAGTCTGCAGACCTGTGTAGTTTTGTTCGCGTATGAGGTGCGGCGGATCTTACATCAATCGCTGGACAATGACAATGTCGTCTCTGTTTTAATAGCCTATTGTAGAACTACCTCTAATACCCCAACTTTGCCACCCTTTCCTTACCCAAGATATCCGCTAGACTAACCAACTTGAAGCTCGCCTCTTTCGCAGTACCTCCTTCAGCCAGCTCATTAGCATCGTCATGCGTGACGAAAAGCCCGCTCGGGAAGTCCTTGTTCAGTGCATTGCCCACAGCAGCACATCCATCCGTGTTACTAACGTGATCGATACCCTTTGCCCTGTTGTCAACGATAGTGAACGTCTCCACGTACTCGTGCGGTGGCGCGCGCTCGTAGATCAGATATGCGGAGATGCCCTGCGACGACACGATGATGTAGCCACCCGGACCTGATTTGGCTGGCACAAGCGTGATGCCCTCGACGTCGGCGTGGAGGCCGCTGGCGTCGCCTACTTGCGCGATCTGAACACCGTTGTTCGAGCCAGTGGGTTCGGCTTCGTAGCGCCAGATGCCGAGTGGTTCTTCGCCGATGAAGAGGTTGCCGGCGCCTTCGTCGGCGACGCAGCCCTCGACTTGGCCGCCTGAGCCGCCTTGAAATTCGCGGACGAGCGTGGTTTGTAGGGTGCCGTTCGCGGTCGCGCTCAGTTCGTACTGTAGATATTGCGCATCCTTGTTGTTGACGAAGAGGTACTCTTTTCCGGTTGTCGGAGAGCGGTAGTTGCAGGAGCCGTAGGGTTCGTAGTCTTTCGGTAGCGATTGTTTACCACCAGAAATGGTGCTGAGGTAGCCTGTGCTGTTTACTTCGACCAGGCTTGGCGATGTGTTAGCAAATGTTCTGAGAAGTCATGCGATGGTACTCACCACATGGTGTTGTCACCGCGGCATGCCGCAAATGCGAGATCGACCTTCCGGGAACCGAGAGTGAAGTTGTAGATAACATCGACGTTGTTTGGCTCCTCAGCCGTCAAATGCTGAAGAAGTCTTCCCTGCAGATCGAAGAGACCAAAGCCTTCGCCCTCATCAGACTTTGTTGTGGTAATGATCTTGCTCTGATCTGGTCGAGTGGGGTGGATCCAAATCGCAGGGTCATCGCCATCTCCACCGTTTGCATCAGTCTCGAACTTTGCGGTAACCGCGACGAACGAGCAGTCTGGGCCAGTCCACCCATCTTTGCACTTGCAGACATTCGGGCCCGTACACTTGCCGTGTCCAGAACAGTCATTTTCGCAGGTGGCCTTGGAGCAGTCGCGACCACTAAAGCCGGCAAAGCAGGAACAGTCCTTGCCTGACACGAAGCCGTTGTTGGAGCACTTCTTGGTGATGGAGCTTTCGCAGTGCTTGCAAGCCTTGCTCTTAGGACTGTACCGGGTGTTTGCCTTGATGCCCAGGGCTGTAAGCGCGCCGTCCAGAGAACCTACAGCTACTCCGGTGTCATTTTCTCCCTCAAAAGCGAAAGCGAACGCGCCTGATGGGTACCCAGGCACTGCAGATTGAAGGATGGCAAGCGAACCCTCAATAGAGAGGTCAGAGATACCGCCCAATGAGATGCTTCCCTTCTGCTTGATGTCGGAGTCGTACACATCGATGACCTCGTCGTGGGCTACGAACAGATAGTCGGCGGATGCGCTGTGGTAAGTCGCAAGTCCAGCAACTTCGATGTCCTCAGTAACAGTCTCGATCTCGGGTGCCTGGACAGACTCCGACGCCTGGAAAGAGTACAATGGTCGATCTTCGGCCGAAAAGAAGATCTTACCATTCGCAAACACGGCGCAGGTTTCGCCTTCGATAGCAACGGGAAAAGTTTGAACCTATGACCTTTGTCAGTATTACTGCCTTTAGCCACGATTAAGAGACAAAAGTACCTCCAGGATCTCAACCCGGCTTTTGTTGCCCCGAATCAAGAACTGCACAACCATCTTCTTTCCGAACAGGAAGACGTAACTCTCTCCACTCTTCCCACTACGCCATACGCACGCAGTACTCCAGTCACCCAGCTGTTTCTTGTCATTACTTTCGATCGTCTCCCCATTCTGAGTGTCGAAGACCCTGATCAAAGAATCTGGAGCTGGGATGTTGACGATCAGATCCCTGCCGTCGATGCCGTGAACGGCAACAGCGATTTTCGAGCGACCAGTCTTCTGATGCGACTTCTCTGCAAAGCTCGAGGAATTGGAGACAGAGAAGGTCCGGAACCCACCGTCGGCAGCACTTCCATCATTGATGACCAGCAAAGGCGATTTTCCGTAGACGAAGTTGGTATTGTCGCCCTCGAATCCAGTAGCGGCTGC